AGAGGCTTCTCTCACACCGAGGGCTCTCTCAGACTGAGACGTCACTAAGAATTTCCCTTCTCATAATGAGGCCTACCTCACACTGAGGCCTTTCTCCCAAAGTGAGGCCAATACCACTGAGACCTATTCTCCCACTGAAGCGTTCTCTCACACAGAGAGGCTTCTCTCACACCGAGGGCTCTCTCAGACTGAGACGTCACTAAGAATTTCCCTTCTCATAATGAGGCCTACCTCACACTGAGGCCTTTCTCCCAAAGTGAGGCCAATACCACTGAGACCTATTCTCCCACTGAAGCGTTCTCTCACACAGAGAGGCTTCTCTCACACCGAGGGCTCTCTCAGACTGAGACGTCACTAAGAATTTCCCTTCTCATAATGAGGCCTACCTCACACTGAGGCCTTTCTCCCACAGTAAGGCCAATACCACTGAGACCTATTCTCCCACTGAGGCGTTCTCTCACACAGAGAGGCTTCTCTCACACCGAAGGCTCTCAGACTGAGACGTTACTAAGAATTTCCCTTCTCATAATGAGGCCTACCTCACACTGAGGCCAATACCACTGAGACCTATTCTCCCACTGAGGCGTTCTCTCACACAGAGAGGCTTCTCTCACACAGAGGGCTCTCAGACTGAGACGTTACTAAGCAACAGGCACATCTTCTTATATTGAACTACATTTAACTTGCCAATTGCACCCTGTCCAGAAAGTAAGGACTCTGCTCCTGGACAAAGACAGAGGTCCAAGCAAATATGGAATTTGCTTGTGTCTGAAGGCAGCAGCTGGCGGATGAAAGAATTTCCTCTGTTTTTCTTCTCAAATCCGCAAAGATCTTGGCATGAGGAGGTAGGCCAGATAAGTCACGGGGTAAATTCCGACTCAGAAAAATCCAGGTGAACGGTTTGTACTCTCAACGGTGGACGCAACTCTCCCAAACTGAATGGGAAGCCAACACTGATGTCAACCAAGGGGTTGCTTCATTATTCAAAGCTTATCTTAAACATTGGTGAGATGGATGGCCTTCTCTTATCTCTAAGGCAGCGGATGGGAGGAAACGTCCCTCCTTCGACCCTTCTATCCTCATAACGAGAAGCCTGGAAGGAAAGGAGCTACTTCTGATTTAAATGTAAGGGGAAATAGGGCTGGGCTGTAGCACAGCTGGTTAATCGCCAGCAGCAATAGATCACTGCCAAGTGGAAGGTGGTGAGTTTGAAGCCTGAGTCGGACTGAACATCCGGCTGTTAAGCTAGCTTACTGTCCACCTAAGCCAGTGGTTCTCAACCTTCCTGTGACCCTTGAAAACATGTTTGGAAATAGGGCCAGACTGTAGCTCAGCTGGTTAATTGCCAGCAGCAATAGATCACTGCCAAAGTGGTGAGTTCGAAGTCAGAGTCAGACTGAAGATCCGGCTGTTAAGCTTAGCTTACTGTTCGAAGTCAGAGTCAGACTGAAGATCTGGCTGTTAAGCCAGTGGTTCTCAACCTTCCTAATGCCGTGACCCTTGAAGACATGTTGGGAAATAGGGCCGGGCTGTAGCACAGCTGGTTAATCGCCAGCAGCAATAGATCACTGCCAACCGGAAAGTGGTGAGTTCGAAGCCTGAGTCGGACTGAACATCCGGCTGTTAAGCCTAGGTTACTGTCCACCTAAGCCAGTGGTTCTCAACCTTCCTAATGCCGTGACCCTTGAAGACATGTTGGAAATAGGGCCGAGCTGTAGCACAGCTGGTAAATCACCAACAGCAATAGATCAATGCCAACTGGAAAGAGGTGAGTTCGAAGCTTGAGTCGGACTGAGCATCCGGCTGTTAAGCTAGCTTACTGTCCACCTACACCAGTGGTTCTCAACCTTCCTAATGCCGTGATCCTTGAAGACATGTTGGGAAATAGGGCCGGGCTGTAGCACAGTTGGTTAATCGCCAGCAGTGATAGATCACTGCCAACCGGAAAGTGGTGAGTTCGAAGCCTGAGTCGGACTGAACATCCGGCTGTTAAGCTTAGCTTACTGTCCACCTAAGCCAGTGGTTCTCAACCTTCCTAATGGGAATTATAGTTGCTGGGATTTGTAGTTCACCTACAATCAAAGAACATTCTGAATCCTACCAATGATGGAATTTGACCAAATTTTGCACATAGAATTCCCATGACCAAAAGAAAATAATGGAGAGGTTTGGTGGGCATTGATCTTGAGTTTTGGAGTTGTAGTTCACCTACATCCAGAGAGCACTGTGGACTCAAACAATGATGGATCTGGACCAAACTTGGCACAAATTGTCAATATGCCCAAATGTGAACACTGTTGGAGTTTTGGGAAAATAGACCTTGACATTTGGGATTTGTAGTTGCTGACATTAATGGTTAACCTATGCTGAACCCAGCCCACAATGGATCTGCACCAAATTTGGCAGACTACTTACACAGCCAACATTAAATACTGGTGGGGTTGGGAAGGGCTGTTTTTGAATTCTGGGAGTTGTAGTTCACCAACACCAAAAAGGAAGAGAAGGACAGGTGGAGAGATCTTCAGCCTTGTCTGCCAAAGGGGTTCCTAAGACCATCAGAAATGTGTTTTCTGATGGTCTTTGGTGACCCCTCTGAAACCCCTCTGGTGACCCACCCCCAGGGTTCTTGACCCCCAGGTGGAGGAACACTGGTCTACAGACATCACACTCAGCTCCTGGTTCTTGCATGTAGCAAGGGGTGGACACAAGGGTCTTTGCGACCTTTCCAATTCTGACATTCTTTTCGCCTCATCCAAGAAACGGATTGCAAGACGTTGCAAAATTCAGATCGTTGGCCATATATTTATCCCAGTAGTTTCTGTCCTGACGGGGAGCGCCTCTTCCGAGTATTGGGAGTCTTGCTACCTGTTCCTTGCAACTCTGTAGGCTTCGACAAGCAAGGCAAGGTGTTTCCTCTCTCTCTCTTTGGTGTCATTAATTTCATTCCTTTCTTTAGGACCTGACAGCATTCAACTCCCAACTGTCAAACACATGGAAAGGGCACCGCTGGTGAAATACGGCCTTGCAAAGTCCAAAAGGTGGATTTATAGTTTGGTTAAAGAAAGAGTGCATCATGTTCGCAAGGAGGGAAGGCGTGACTCAAGAGCCGTTGGCACAGGAAAGCATTGCCCAAGGGGCCCCGTGTTGCACCTTTGCGGAAAAGGTCATGGAGCGTCCGGTTCTGGGATCGCAAGCCCAGAGCCAAGGGAAAGGTCTAAGGGATCTCGTTTGAGACTGACCCGGGGAAGAGATTTCAAACCAATCTACTTAAAATAGAGCAATTTTCCCACCCCTTTAAGCATGAATTTAAAACTCGTGCCTTGTGTTTAATATACGTTTTATAGAAATACATTTCTTCGAGAAATACATTGTAAAAAATATTTGTTTTATGTATTGTCGAAGGTGGTCAGTTGAAACATTCACACCTAGCTCCAACAGACAAGAGCCCTTTGTCCCACCCTGGTCATTCCACAGATATATAAACCCATTTTCCTAGTTCCAACAGACCTCACTACCTCTGAGGATGCCTTGCCATAGATATGGGTGAAACGTCAGAAGAGAATGCTTCTGGAACATGTCCAGACAGCTCAGAAAACCCACAGCAACCCAAAGGCCTACTTTCCCCGTTCTCCAGTTCTGAGAAAGGCCTGCTTTCTCCCTTCTCCAGTTCTGAGAAAGGCCTACTTTCCGCCTTCTCCAGCTCTGAGAAAGGCCTATTTCCCCCCTTCTCTAGTTATGAGAAAAGCCTACTTTCCCCCTCCTCCAGCTCTGAGAAAGGCCTATTTCCCCCCTTCTCCAGCTCTAAGAAAGGCCTACTTTCTCCCTTCTCCAGCTCTGAGAAAGGCCTTCTTTCCCCCTTCTCCAGCTCTGAGAAAGGCCTATTTCCCCCCTTCTCCAGCTCTGAGAAAGGCCTACTTTCTCCCTTCTCCAGCTCTGAGAAAGGCCTACTTTCCCCCTTCTCCAGCTCTGAGAAAGGCCTACTTTCCCCTTCTCCAGCTCTGAGAAAGGCCTACTTTCCCCTTCTCCAGCTCTGAGAAAGGCCTATTTCCCCCCTTCTCCAGCTCTGAGAAAGGCCTACTTTCTCCCTTCTCCAGCTCTGAGAAAGGCCTTCTTTCCCCCTTCTTCAACTTTGCGAAAGGCCTACTTTCCGCCTTCTCCAGCTCTGAGAAAGGCCTATTTCCCCCCTTCTCCAGCTGTGAGAAAGGCCTACTTTCTCCCTTCTCCAACTCTGAGAAAGGCCTACTTTCCCCTTCTCCAGTTCTGAGAAAGGCCTACTTTCCGCCTTCTCCAGCTCTGAGAAAGGCCTATTTCCCCCCTTCTCCAGCTCTGAGAAAGGCCTACTTTCCGCCTTCTCCAGCTCTGAGAAAGGCCTATTTCCCCCCTTCTCCAGCTCTGAGAAAGGCCTACTTTCTCCCTTCTCCAGCTCTGAGAAAGGCCTTCTTTCCCCCTTCTTCAACTTTGCGAAAGGCCTACTTTCCGCCTTCTCCAGCTCTGAGAAAGGCCTATTTCCCCCTTCTCCAGCTGTGAGAAAGGCCTACTTTCTCCCTTCTCCAGCTCTGAGAAAGGCCTACTTAATCCCCTTCTCCAGCTCTGAGAAAGACCTACTTTCTCCTTTCTCCAGCTCTGAGAAAGGCCTACTTTCCCCCCCTCCCCAGCTCTGAGAGAAACCTATTTTCTCCCTTCTCTAGATATGAGAAAGACCTACTTTCCCCCTTCTCCAGCTCTGCGAAAGGCCTACTTTCTCCCTTCTCCAGCTCTGAAAAAGGCAGACATACTTTTGTACCCTACCATGACTTCCTTCCAGAGATGAAGAGACTAGGCCAAGACAAAAGGCCAAAATGAGGCCTGACTGAGGAGGACATCTTGGGTCTGAGGGAGGCCTGACGTTGCCATGGTGACGGAGGCGCCAGCCGTTAAAATACAAAAAGAAAATACCTCGGGGGGACACGTCTGCGCATGCTCCGCCCTCCATTCGGGAAGAGCCAATCAGAGGAGCCCTTCTGCGCATGTCAGCCTTTCCGTCTCTGTCTCCCCCCTTTCCTCGTTGACAGTGGAAGCGTCCTCAGTGATGGCGGCGGAGGAGGAGGGCGAGACCAAGGCCAAAGCAGGTGGGTGTGTCGCCCTTGGAGACTTAGGCCTGGCCAAACTTGGGCCTTCCCTCCAGTTGTGTTTTGGACTCCAACTCCCAGCATTCCTCACAGCCTCAGGCCCTTTCCTTTTCCCCCTCAGCCACTTAAGCATCATAATAAATATAAGGCTGTGAGGAATGCTGGGAGTTGGAGTCCAAAACACAACTGGAGGGAAGGCCCAAGTTGGCCTAGGCCTATTCTATCTCTCTATCTCTATCTATCTATCTATCTCTATCTCTCTATCTCTATCTCTATCTATCTATCTCAGTGGTTCTCAACCTGTGGGTCCCCAGGTGTTTTGGCCTACAACTCCCAGAAATCCCAGCCAAGTTACCAGCTGTTAGGATTTCTGGAAGTTGAAGGCCAAAACATCTGGGGACCCACACGTTGAGAACCACTGCTCTATTCAGACATCACAGATGATAATCATTTATCTATCTCTATCTATCTATCTATCTATCTATCTATCTATCTATCTATCTATCTATCTCTATCTATCTATCTATCTCTATCTATCTATCTATCTATCTATCTCTATCTATCTATCTATCTATCTATCTATCTATCTTTTATTTATTTATTTATTTATACACTTGTATACCGCTAATATCTCAGCCTAAGACGGCGACTCATTGCGGTTTACAGCAGTTAAAAACAATATACAATTTAAAACAGCAGTACATAAACAATACAAATTATTGGGCCACCAATAATCATACCATGCATCTCATCAATAAAATCACAATCCAGAATTCGTCACCCATCATTAACCAGTCCTTAGTCAGCAAAGTTCGGTGATAACAAACTAACCGAATGCTTGTTTAAACAGCCAAGTTTTCAGTGATTTCCGAAAAGCCATCAGCGAAGAGGCAGATCGTATCTCTATAGGGAGGGTGTTCCAAAGCCGAGGGGCCACCACAGAAAAGGCCCTGTCTCTCGTTCCCGCCAGCCGCGCCTGTGAAGCAGGCGGGATAGAGAGCAGGGCCTCCCCAGAAGATCTTAGGGTCCTGGTGGGCTGATAGGCCGAGATACGTTCGGATAGATAAGTTGGGCCAGAACCGTTTAGGGCTTTAAAGGCCAAAACCAGCACTTTGAATTGAGCCCGGTAGCATATCGGCAGCCAGTGGAGCTGGTGCAGCAGAGGAGTTGTGTGCTCCCAGGGCCCGCTCCTGTTAGTACCATGGCTGCCGCCCGTTGGACTAGTTGGAGCTTCCGGGCTGTCTTCAAAGGCAACCCCACGTAGAGAGCGTTGCAGTAATCAAGGCGGGATGTAACCAGAGCGTGGACTACCGTGGCTAAGTCAGACTTCCCAAGGTACGGTCGCAGTTGGCGCACAAGTTTTAATTGTGCGAATGCTCCCCTGGTCACCGCCGAAACCTGGGGTTCCAGGCTCAGCGATGAGTCCAGGATCACACCCAAAGTGCGAACCTGCGTCTTCAGGGGGAGTGCGACCCCGTCTAACACAGGCTGTAACCCTATACCCTATATCTATCTATATCTATCTATCTATCTATCTATCTATATCTATCTCTATATCTGTCTATATCTATCTATCCTATCTATCTCTATCTATCTATCTCTATCTATCTATCTCTATCTATCTCTATCTATCTCTATCTATCTCTATCTATCTCTATCTATCTATCTATCTATCTCTATCTCTATCTCTCTATTTCTCTCTCTCTCTCTCTATCAATCTATCTCTACCTATCTCTTTCTATCTCTATCTATCTATATCTATCTATTTCTATCTATCTATCTCTATCTATCTCTATCTATCTATCTGTCTATCTCTATCTCTATCTATCTATCTCTATGTCTTTTCTGTGGTGGCCCCTTGGCTGTGGAACGCCCTTCCCATGGACATTAGATCAGCCCCTTCATTAATGATGTTTTCGAAGAAAACTAAAAACCTGGCTGTTCGAACAGGCGTTCGGTTAAACAATTGCAATGTACACGATGAATATAGGAAACGGAATTATGGAAGACGAATTGGATCACGATTCTAGTTACGAGACGTTAATGTGTTGTTATTGATGTGTCATTTTGTATATTATGCTGTTAATGGTTTTTAAATTTTGTATGCTGTTGGATTGACTTTTGCTCTTGTTGTAAACGCGTTGAGTCGCCTACAAGGCTGAGAAATTGCGGTATACAAGCAAAGTAAATAAAATAAATAAATCTCTATCTATCCATCTCTATCTCTATCTATCTATCTATCTCTATGTCTCTCTCTCTCTCTCTATCTATCTCTGTCTCTCTCTCTCTATCTCTATCTATCTATCTATCTCTATCTATCTATGTCTCTCTCTATCTCTATCTATCTATCTATCTATCTATCTATCTATCTCGTATCTATCACTATCTCTCTCTATCTATCTATCTCTATCTATCTATCTATCTATCTATCTCTATCTATCTATCTCTATCTCTCTCTATCTATCTCTATTTATCTCTATCTCTCTCTATCTCTATCTATCTATCTATCTATCTATCTATTTCTATCTATCTATCTGATCTATTTTTCTATAAGTCTTAAGCCTGTCTCTCTCTGTTTTGGGGGTGAAGTGGCCCTCCTTTGAGGTGGGCTCGTTGCTAGGTGAAGTGGCCCTCTGACGAAAGGGGAAAGAAAGGGGACATCAGCAGGAGGGGAAAGGTTGAAAGGAAGGAAAAGGTCACAGACAAAACAAAAAACAACAACTAGGCCTTTTTCAGAGCTGGAGAAGGGAGAAAGAAGGTTTCTCTCAGAGCTGGAGAAGGAGGAAGGTAGGTTTCTCTCAGAGCTGGAGGAAAAGTAGGTCTTTCTCGGAGCTGGAGAAGGGAGAAAGAAGCTTTCTCTCATATCTGGAGAAGGGAGAAAGGCTTCAGAGCTGGAGGAAAAGTAGGTCTTTCTCAACTGGAGAAGGGAGAAAGTAGGTCTTTCTCAGAGCTGGAGAAGGGGGGAGGTAGCTTTCTTTCAGAACTGGAGGAAAAGTAGGTCTTTCTCGTATCTGGAGAAGGGGGAAAGTAGGTCTTTCTCAGAGCTGGAGAAGGTAGGCCTTTCTCAGAGCTGGAGAAGGGGGAAAGTAGGCCTTTCTCGGAGCTGGAGAAGGGGGAATGTGGGCCTTTCTTAGAGCTGGAGAAGGGAGAAAGTAGGCCTTTCTCAGAGCTGGAGAAGGGAGAAAGTAGGTTGAGCTGGAGGAAAAGTAGGTCTTTCTCGTATCTGGAGAAGGGGGAAAGTGGGCCTTTCTCAGAGCTGGAAAAGGGAGAAAGTAGGCCTTTTTCAGAACTGGAAAAGGGAGAAAGTTGGCCTTTCTCAGAGCTGGAGATGGAAGAAAATAGGTTTCTCTCAGAGCTGGAGTAGGAAAAAAGTAGGTTTCTCTTAGAGCTGGAGGAAAACTAGGTCTGTCTCATATCTGGAGAAGGGGGAAAGTGCGCCTTTCTCAGAGCTGGAAAAGGGAGAAAGTAGGTTTCTCTCAGGGCTGGAGCAAAAGTAGGTCTTTCTCAGAGATGAAGAAGGGAGAAAGTAGGCCTTTCTCAGAGCTGGAGAAGGGAGAAAGTAGGCCTTTCTTGGAACTATAGAAGGGAGAAAACAGGCCATTTTCAAGGCTGGAAAAGGGAAAGCAGGTCTCCTCAGCTGGAAAAGGGAGGAACTAGGCCTTCCTCAGAGCTGGAGAAGAGAGAAAGACCTTTCTTAAAGCCGGAGAAGGGGAAAAGTAGGCTTTTCTCAAGGCTGGAAAAGGGAGAAAGCAAGCCTCTTTAGAGCTAGAGAAGGGGGAAAGTAGGCCTTCTTCTCATAGCTGGAGAAGAGAGAAAGTAGACCTTTCTCAAAACTAGAGAAGAGAGAAAGTAGACCTCTAAGAGCTGGAGAAGGGAGGAAAATAGACAGGCAGCTGTCCGAGCGACACTTGGGCAGCACCAGATATCTATGCTAGTTTTACACATTTTCAGCTTTGGGGCCATTTGTCAGCTCTTCTGAAATCCCAGATCATCTTAGACATGGAAGCTGAGGACTTCTGGGAGTTGTAGTCTTAAAAAATAGAAAATGAAAACCTTCTCTTTGCAACAGCCCATGTCCACAGAAGCTTGGCCTTAACCTCCTCTTTGGGTTTTTGTGCCTGGTTTGTTTTTGTTTGCACGGAAGAGGCACGTGCCTCCGAAAGACGTGGCGGCTGCTCAGTGGCTCCCCTTTCAAAAAGCCTATTTAATAAGGTTAAGGCAGCCCTTTCCCCCCAATCTATTTCTGTCCCAAGGATGTCCAAAGGTAAATATATAATGATTTTATTGCTTAATTGACATGTCTTTTTGCTTGGCTGTTGAATCTGTGCAAAAGGGAGTTCCTGGAAATAAATCAGATTTTTTTTTCTGGCCCTGTAACTCCCTCTGTCTATATACACACACACATACGTACACACAGATGCAAAGCTCTAGTGTTATTATTATTTTGCAAACACGTCCGTGGCTTCATTCCAAAGGGCATTTGTGTTGGAAAGCCACGGAGGTTCGAAATCCTCGTTGCTTGAGGAGCTGAAAGGCAACGTGGCACATGGATGCAGAATGTATAATTGCCAGGTCTGTTGCCTAGGGAGGTAAAAACCAGTTTGAAATCACCCAGTTTGGCCAGTATTGCATCATAGATTGTATTGCTAATTGATTTTGTGATCATGTGTTTGAATTGGACTTTTTTGTAGCAAGGTGCAAGAAAGTGGACGATATTTCCTTTAAGGAACTCCCTCTGAAAGTTTTGCTATATGTATTTTGAGAAATAGATATATAGGGCCTTTTCTGTGGTGGCCCCTCGGCTTTGGAATGCCCTCCCCATAGAGGTGAGATCAGCCCCTTCGCTGATGGTATTTCGAAAAAGGTTGAAGACATGGATGTTTAAACAAGCATTCGATTAATCTGGTGCAACAAAACTGATGAACAAGGATTGGTTAATCACAGACGACGAAATTGGATTGCGACTACAATTAAGAGATGCATTGGATTATTATTGGTGGCCCAATAATATTGTGTATGGTGTATGTGTTTTTATGCTTTTTAATGGAATATTGCTGCTTGTCGTTGTGTTGTAAACTGCGTTGAGTCGCCGATTTAGGCTGAGAAACGGCGGTATATAAGCACAGTAATAAATAAATAATAAATAAATAATAATATACCGTATATACTCAAGTATAAGCCGACCCAAATATAAGCCGAGGCACCTAATTTTATCACAAAAAACTGGGAAAATGTATTGTCTCAAGTATAAGCCGAGGGTGAGAAATGCATCCACGATGGGTCAATTTCAAAATAAAAATAGATATATATAATAAAAATAATAGAGTAAAATAATGAAAATGCAATAAAAACAGTAATAATAGAGTAAAATAATAAATGTAGTAATAATAGGGTAAAATACTGTAAATGTAATAATAATAATAATAATAATAATAAATAGAGTAAAATAATAAATGTAATAATAATAATAATAATAATAGAGTAAAATAATAAATGTAATAATAATAATAATAATAAATAGAGTAAAATAATAAATGTAATAATAATAATAATAAATAGAGTAAAATAATAAATGTAATAATAATAATAATAATAAATAGAGTAAAATAATAAATGTAATAATAATAATAATAAATAGAGTAAAATAATAAATGTAATAATAATAATAATAATAATAATAATAATAATAAATAGAGTAAAATAATAAATGTAATAATAATAGGGTAAATACTGTAAATGTAATAAAAATAATAATAGAACAAAATAGTAAATAGAATAATAATAGAGCAAAATAATGTAAATATAATAATAGAGTAAAATAATAAATGTAATAAAATAATACTAATAGCAGAGTAAAAGAATAAATAACCTTGACTCGAGTATAAGCCGACGGGAGCTTTTTCAGCATAAAAAAGGGGCTGAAAAACTAGGCTTATACTCTAGTATATACAGTATAGAGAGAGAGAGAGAGAAAGTATTATATGTTATCTGTCATTTTGAACCATATTGAACCTCACCTCAAACCATGAGCAATTATGGCTTAATAATAATAATAATAATAATAATAATAATAATAATGATAAATTTTATTTGTTACCTGTCGCTGTCGTCATCATTATTATTGTTATTACTTGTGCTTCCCAGTTTTGACATTGGGAATTATCATTATTATAATTGATAATAATTGCTGTTGTTTTTACTCAATGAACTGTCCCCTGGCCTCTCTTGGTTCTGGGGGTTGGTTCTCATCTCCATTTCTAAGCCAAAGAACCGGTGTTGTCCGTAGACACCTCTAAGGTCATGTGGCCAGCATGACTGCATGGAGCGCTGTTACCTTCCTGCTGGAGCTGTACCTATTGATCTACTCACATTTGCATGTTTTCAAACTGCTAATATTTGTTGGGTTTCTTAAAGAAACGTCCCTTTTCCTTTGCAGGGAATGGGACTGTTTTCAAGAGAAAGCACCCTAGGTTTCATACCTGCGAGGTGAGCTTTGGGAGACATCCTCAGCCTCGCCAAAAGAACTGACCGCAGCCCGTCCTTAGTGTGGTCGATGCTCGCAGAACCCAAGGCCGGTCTCATCCTCCAAGATGGCCACCGGCGGCCCGAGTCCAGACTGTCCCCTCCCGGATCCGAGCCTTGCCACTTCGGCTCTGCTCCCGGAAGAGAAGCAGCCCAGGAGCAAAGGCCTCCAGCTGGGCTCCCTCTTCCACGGCCGGAGCGAGAGGTTTGTCTTGGCCCGGAGCGACAGCGTGCCCGAGGAGAACGTCCTGAAGATCACCATCACCGAGACCACTGTCATTGAGTCCGATCTGGGCATCTGGAACTCCCATGCGCTCGTCTACCTCACCTTGTGGTTCTTCTTCAGCTTTTGCACACTGTTCCTGAACAAGTACATTCTGTCGCTACTGGAGGGGGAGCCAAGCATGCTGGGTAAGTATCCCCCCCAACCCCCCCCCCCTAATATAATATGGTATTTTTGCAGTTGCCAATCTTTCCTATGAGCTCAGGTTACACTTGACTACACTTTGTAGATTCGATTACATTATGTAACAGGATTTTTGTCCTGGGATATAATGCCTTTTCCTAATCTATATATATAAAAATGCTCATGTCGTAATGAGTGGCTTAAAAACAAAAGAACCAATGAACGAAGTCATACTAAATTTGGCAACAAAACATCTCACAAGACAAGGAGTGACCATCACTCACAAAATGATGATTTTGTCATTTGGGAGTTGTAGTTGCTGGGATTTATAGTTCACCTATAATCAAAGAGCATTCTAGACTCCACCAATGATAGAATTCAATCAAACTCGGCACACAGGACTCCCCTGACTAACAGAAAACACTAGGTTTTGTGGGCATTGACCTTGAGTTTTGGAGTTGTAGTTCACCTACATCTAGAGAGCACTGTGGACTCAAACAATGATGGATCAGGACCAAACTTGGCATGAATACTCAGTATGCCCAAATATAAACACAGATGGAGTTTGGGGGAAATAGACATTGACATTTGGGAGTTGTAGTTACTGGGATTTATAGTTCACCTACAATCAAGGAGCATTCCGAACCCCACCAATGACAGAATTGGGACAAACTTCCCACACAGAACCCCTATGACCAACAGAAAATACTGTGTTTTCTGATGGTCTTTGGCAACCCTTCTGACACCCCCTCGCAACCCTCCCCAGGGGTCCCAAACCCCAGGTTGAAAAATGCTGCCTTAAGGCCATCCAATCCAACTCCATTCAGCAGGGCAAAAAAACATGATCAAAGGCTTCCATGGGGCCAAGCCCAGACAACATATTACAACAAAATAAAACCAGAGCATAAACAATAAACAACATCATCAAATTACATTAAAAAGTCATAAAATAACTTTCCAATAAGCACAATCACAATAACAATGTACAAGATAAAAACAATTGTAAAACTCTAATGAGATAAAAATAGGAGCAAGTTATCTGCAGGGACCTAGTAAAAACATACATAGCTGTGAAGCTAAACTTCCCATGTGGAGGGCGTGTATTCCAGTGGGAAGAGCGTTGAGGGGTGCAATGGTGTCATATTGTGCACCTACTCGCCAAAGGTGCAGCGGAAGAGCCAGGTTTTAAGGTCCTTTTTTAATGTTTCTAGAGAAGTCAGGTAGCCACTGAGGAGAAGGCTCTCTCTCTTGTGCCCACAAGACAAGTTTGTGAGATTGGTAGGGGTGAAAGGAGGGCCTCCCCCGAAGATCTAAGGGCCTGGGTTAGTACGTGGAGAGAGATACGGTCACGAAGGTTGGCGGGTCCCAAACCATTTAGGGCTTTGTAGGTGATGACCTGTACCTTGATTTGGGACCGGAAAATAAACGGCAGCCAGTGGAGCTCCTTAAACGGGGGTTGTAGGTTGCCCCAGTTATTAATCTGGCTGCCGAAAGTTGGACAAGTTGTAATTTCCGGATAGTCTTCAAGGGTAGCCCCACATAGAGCACATTACAGTACTGCAAAAACATGGGAAAAAAGTATCTTTGTCTTTGCAGGAGGGACATCCTGCTATATCACATTTTGCAGTAGTTTTTCAGTGAATATTTCATCAAGTCTCAACCAATTCAAGGGCTAATAATAATGATAATGATAACAATGTATTTCTTTATTATTTATTTATTGACTATATTTATATACCGCCCCTCCCAGCGGTTTTGACATAGCTCTCACATCAAGCAGAGACTGTGGGGCGTTGCCTTCTGTGAGCTGCGCTCTCGCTCTTATGTGCCTTGCTCGCCTTGTGCCCTGTCCATACGTTACGTTGGGCCTTTCCTTGTGGTCCAGGTGCCGTCCAGATGCTCTCCACCACGTTCATTGGCTGTGTCAAGATGTTTGTCCCCTGCTGCCTGTACCAGCACAAGGCCCGCCTCTCGTACCCGCCCAACTTCATCATGATCATGCTGTTTGTGGGACTGATGAGGTAAGGAGTGAGGTGCATGCTTATTTTCATTGATTTATTTTGATATCAAATATCAAACTGCTGCTCTGGGCCGGCGTGAAGAGAGAGGGGGCCAGGAAGGCAGTTCCACCTTGTCTCCTGCGCTATACTAATAATATAACGTATATACATATATTTATCATAATACAATATAATACTAATAATAATACAATATTGTAATTATATATTTAATATTACATGTAGTATTACTAATAATATTACAATATAATGGTATAGTACAATGGTTTGGGAGGCTTTGAAGCTTAGAAGAAGGAGCAGGATTCAAAACGATCTTGACAGATTAGAGAGATGGGCCAAAACTAACAAAATGAAGTTCAACAGTGACAAATGCAAGATACTCCACTTTGGCAGGAAAAACGAAATGCAAAGATACAGAATGGGGGACAATGCCTGGCTCGAGAGCAGTACGTGTGAAAAATATCTTGGAGTCCTCGTGGACAACAAGTTAAACATGAGCCAACAATGTGATGTGGCGGCAAAAAAAGCCAATGGGATTTTGGCCTGCATCAATAGGAGCATAGTGTCTAGATCTAAGGAAGTCATGCTCCCCATGCTCTATTCTGCTTTGGTTAGACCACATCTGGAATATTGTGTCCAATTCTGGGCACCACAATTCAAGAGAGAGATTGACTCTAAGCTGGAATGTGTCCAGAGGAGGGCGACTAAAATGATCAAGGGTCTGGAGAACAAGCCCTATGAGGAGCGGCTTAAGGAGCTGGGCATGTTTAGCCTGAAGAAGAGAAGGCTGAGAGGAGATATGATAGCCATGTATAAATATGTGAGAGGAAACCACAGGGAGGAGGAGGAGGGAGCAAGCTTCCTTTCTGCTTCCTTGGAGACTAGGACGCAAGGGAACAATGGCTTCAAACTACAAGAGAGGAGATTCCATCTGAACATGAGGAAGAACTTCCTGACTGTGAGAGCCGTTCAGCAGTGGAACTCTCTGCCCCGGAGTGTGGTGGAGGCTCCTTCTTTGGAAGCTTTTAAGCAGAGGCTGGATGGCCATATGTCAGGGGTGATTTGAATGCAATATTCCTGCTTCTTGGCAGAATGGGGTTGGACTGGATGGCCCAGGAGGTCTCTTCCAACTCTTTGATTCTAGGATTCTATGATTCTCAACCTTCCTAATGCCGTGACCCCTTAATACAGTCCCTCACGTTGTGGTGACCCCCAGCCATAATATTGTTTTCGTTGCTACTTCATAATAGTCATTGTATTACTGTTATAAATCATAATGTAAACATCGGATATGCAAGATGTGTTTTCATTCACTGGACCAAACTGGGCACAAATACCCAATGCAACCACATGTAAATGCTAGTGGGGTTGGGGGAGGATTGATTTTGTAATTTGGGAGTTGTAGTTGCTGGGATTTATAGTTCACCTATAATCAAAGAGCATTCTGAACTCCTCCAGTGATGGATTTGAACCTAATTTGCCACACAGAACTCCCATGACCAACGGAAAACACTGGAAGGGTTTGGTGGGTATTGACCTTGAGTTCGGGAGTTGTAGTTCACCTATATCCAGAGAGCACTGTGGACTCACGCAATGCTGGATCTGGACCAAACTTGGCACAAATACTCAATATGCGCAAATGTGAACACTGGTGGAGCTTGGGGAAAATAGACCTTGACTTTTGGGAGTTGTAGTTGCTGGGATTTATAGTTTATTACAATCAAAGAACATTCTGAACTCCACCAATGATAGAATTGGCTCAAACTTCCCACATGGAATCCCCATGACCATCAGAAAATACTGTGTTTTCTCATGGTCTTTGGTGACCCCTCTGACACCCCTTAGTGACCCCCTCAGAGGTCCCGACCCCCAGGTTAAGAAACACTGGTATAGTACAATATAGTCTATATAAATAAAAACGTAATGTTCGTTTGTGGGATTAACATAACTCAGAAATCAGAACAGACTTAAAAACCCCCAAAATACACCATACACACACACACACACACACACATATATACTCGAGTATAAGCCTAATTTTTCAGTCCTTTTTTTTAGGCTGAAAAAGTCTCCCCAGGCTTATACTCGAGTCAAGGTTATTTATTATTTTACTTTGTTGTTGTTTTACTTTATTATTGTTGCTATTACATTTATTATTTTACTCTATTTATTATTGTTATTGTTATATTTATTATTTTACTCTATTATTGTTATTATCGGAGCCCCCAGTGGCGCAGTGGGTTAAACCCCTATGCCGGCAGGACTGAAGACCGACAGGTTGCAGGTTCGAATCCGGGGAGAGCCGGATGAGCTCCCTCTTCCAGCTCCAGCTTCTCATGCGGGGACATGAGAGAAGCCTCCCACAAGGATAATAAAAACATCAAATCATCCGGGCAATGTCCCCTGGGCAACGTCCTTGCAGATGGCCAATTCTCTCACACCAGAAGCGACTTGCAGTTTCTCAAGTCGCTCCTGACACAACAAAATTTTTGCAGTTTCTCAAGTCGCTCCTGACACGACAATTTTTTTTGTTATTATTACATTTATTATTTTACTCTATTATTATTATTATTACTATTATTATTATTTTACTCTATTATTATTGGAAGGATACGTAAGCATATTTACATTGAAGAAGGTTAGAATAATGGTTGAATCAGAGTTGGACAGTCTTAGGTTGAATTACAGTTTTATGTAAATATTCAAAAACATTTAACCAACAGATGCCTTGATTAATGTAATTTTATTGGTATCTGTTTTTATTTTGAAATTGACCCGTAAATGCCGCATTTCCCACCCTCGGCTTATATCCGATTCAATCCATTTCCGCAGTTTTTTGTGGTAAAATTAAGTGCCTTGGCTTATATTCGGGTCGGCTTATACTCGAGTATATACGGTACTTTATTTTCTAGATCACCAGACTGGGCCACAGCAACGCCTGGCAGGGGACGGCTAGTGGTTATAAAAATAGAATAAAGGAATATCCCAGCCAAGACTAAAGATACATGCAAAGAGGCATTTATATTAGGAGAAATATATAGGGGAAAAGAATTAATTAATACCACGGGAAGCGATCTGGAAATGATAAGGGAAAATGTATAAATGTACATTCGTAGTGATGCTGGTCTCTTTTTTTTCTTCTTCACCATTGCTCTTTCTCTTCCCCTACAATCTTATACTCCTACTTTGCTCGTATGTGTATCTATCTTGTAAGCCTCTCTGAGTTCCCTTCGGGATGAGAAAGGCGGCATATGAATGTCGCATATAAATAATAATAATAATAATACTAATAATAATAAACTTTATTTATACCCCACCACCATCTCCCCAGTGGGGACTCAGAGCGGCTTACATGGGGCCAAGCAAAAATAAAACAAATAAAACAAATAAATAACACTAAAAACATAAATAAATAAATATTAGAGAGTATATATTTGTGATTTTCTTTATTATTATTATTATTATTATTATTAGAGCCTTAAGCGAGTTGTTATTTCAGGTTTGCCACGGTTGTCTTGGGCCTGGTTAGTCTGAAGAACGTGGCCGTGTCCTTCGCGGAGACGGTGAAAAGCTCGGCCCCCATCTTCACGGTGATCATGTCCCGCATGATATTGGGGGAATACACTGGTAAGCAGCACTGAAGAACAATATATGCCCATCATATAGCCTAGAGCAGTCATTTCACATTCTTTGCCTCTGTTGCTGTCTCCAACAAACACACATATATTAGGGCTGGGCAAAATTATTGTTAGTTATCATAAGTCGAATCAAAATAGTTAAATTTGTACTGAGGATGTGATATCCAACACGTAGACATGTCCTGCTGCAAAAATCTAAGATTTGAAACTTACACAATACTTTTTTGTTTGAGTTTTGTAAACCTCGGAAGCATCCCAAAGTCATTTTCTTTTTCAGCACAAGCAAGCCAAGCAAAGCCAAAAAGGCTGCCATTCTGCTCTGGGCAAGAGTGAAGGGGGGGAGCGGACTATGCTAATTACTTTCAGCGCAAGCAAGCCAAGCAAAGCCAAAAAGGGTACCATTCTGTTCTGTGCAAGAGTGAAGGGGTGGAGCGGACTATGCTAATTACTTTCAGCGCAAGCAAGCCAAGCAAAGCCAAAAAGGCTGCCATTCTGCTCTGGGCAAGAGTGAAGGGGGGGAGCGGACTATGCTAATTACTTTCAGCGCAAGCAAGCCAAGCAAAGCCAAAAAGGCTGCCATTCTGCTCTGGGCAAGAGTGAAGGGGGGGAGCGGACTATGCTAATTACTTTCAGCGCAAGCAAGCCAAGCAAAGCCAAAAAGGGTACCATTCTGTTCTGGGCAAGAGTGAAGGGGGGGCAGGGGACTGTGCTAATAATTTTCAGCGCAAGCAAGACAAGCAAAGCCAAAAAGGGTGCCATTCAGCTCTGGGCAAGAGTGAAGGCGGAGGGCAGGGGAGTATGCTAATAATTTTCAGCGCAAAGAAGCCAAGCAAAGCCAAAAAGGCTGCCATTCTGCTCTGGGCAAGAATAAAGGTGGGGGGAGGGGGACTATGCTAATAATTTTCAGCGCAAGCAAGCCAAGCAAAGCCAAAAAGGCTGCCATTCTGCTCTGGGCAAGAGTGAAGGGGGGGAGCGGACTATGCTAATTACTTTCAGCGCAAGCAAGCCAAGCAAAGCCAAAAAGGCTGCCATTCTGCTCTGGGCAAGAGTGAAGGGGGGGAGCGGACTATGCTAATTACTTTCAGCGCAAGCAAGCCAAGCAAAGCCAAAAAGGGTACCATTCTGTTCTGGGCAAGAGTGAAGGGGGGGCAGGGGACTGTGCTAATAATTTTCAGTGCAAGCAAGCTAAGCAAAGCCAAAAAGGCTGCCATTCTGAAAGGGGGCTATGCTTATAATATAATATAATATAATATAATATAATATTATAATGTAATACAATATAAAACTGCTAATAATATTATGATATTATAATTATATATTTTATATTACATGTATATTACATGTAATATTACTAATAACATTACAATATAATGGTATAATACAATATAGTATTATATAATACTGATATTGTACTATGCTAATAATATAATATATTGTGTGTGTGTGTGTGTGTATCTTGTAAGCCGCTCTGAGTCCCCTTTGGGGGGAGAAGAGCAGCATATAAATGTCGCAAATAAATAAATAAATAAATAATACATATAATATTTATAATATTATAATGTAATACAATATAATACTACTACTAATAATATTATACTTATATATTTTAATTTACATGTATTATTACTAATATTACAATATAATGGTATAGTACAATATAGTCATATATAATACTGATACTGTACTATGCTATATATATATATATATATATATATATATATATATATATTGTAAGCTGTTCTGAGTCCCCGCAAATAAATAAATAAATAAATAAATAATACATGTAATATTTATAATATTATAATGTAATACAATATAATACTATGATATTATAATTATATATTTATATTACACGTAATATTACTAATAATATTACAATATAATGGTATAGTACAATATAGTCATATATAATACTGATATTGTACTATGGTAATAATATGATATATATATATATATCTTGTAAGCTGCTCTGAGTCCCCCTAAATAAATAAATAAATAAATAAATAATACATATAATATTATAATGTAATACAATATAATACTAATAAATAAATAAATTCCTCGCCATTAGGAGAGGGAACCAGCAGGGAGGAAGCAGATTATTTTAGGAAAGAGGCTGAGAAAGCACAGGATTCTGGGTAATGTAGTTTGGGAAGGCGAGGAGCCCTATGCCAGAGAATTCTAACTACATTTCCCAGAATTCTGCTCAGCATGAATCAGAAGAGGAAAGAGACATCTGTATCCTGAATCAGGATGGAAGCACTTGCCTATATTAAGCGGGTTCATGTTGTTGTGTGACGGCCTTGTTGTGGCTGCTTTATTGCGAGAGCATTCAGTGTTGGTTTTGAGTGTTTTTCCCCCGGTTTCTCTGCCTTTTTGTCTCTGATGCACCTAGGTCTGTTGGTGAACCTCTCCCTCCTTCCCGTTATGGGAGGCCTTGCTCTCTGCACTGCGACCGAGCTCAGCTTCAATGTCCTGGGCTTTTCTGCAGCTTTGTCAACTAACATCATGGACTGGTATATCGATACAAATAAAAATGTCATGTTCGTTTGTGGGATCGACAGAACTCCAAAACCACTGGGCGAATTGACACCAAATTGGGACACAAGGCACCTCTCAAGCCAACGAGTGACCATTGCTCATAAAAACACTGTAAAACATGACAGAAGGGACTCAAAAAGGCCAAAAAACCAAACATAAAAACAGCATTACAAAGCACGTGCAAAACCACATATATATACACACAAACACACATATATACACACATATATGCATATATATACACAAAACACATACACAGAAAGGAGGGAGGGAGGAAGGAAGGGTAGAGAAGGAAGGAGGGAGAGAAAGAGGGAGAGAAGAAGGGAAAGAAGGAGGGAAGGAGAGAAGGAAGGGAAAAAAAGAAGGGTAGAGAATGAAGGGAGGAGAGAAGGAGGGAGAGAAAGAGGGAAGGAGAGAAGGAAGGAAAGAGAAAGGTAGAGAATGAAGGAAGGAGGGGGAGAAAGAAGGAAAGAGAGAAGGGTAGAGAAGGAAGGAAGGAGAGAAGGAGGGGGAGAAAGAGGGAAAGAAGGAGGGAAGGAGAGAAAGAAGGAAAGAGAAGGGAGAAGAAGGGAAAGAAGGAGGGAAGGAGAGAAGGAAGGGAAAAAAAGAAGGGTAGAGAATGAAGGGAGGAGAGAAGGAGGGAGAGAAAGAGGGAAGGAGAGAAGGAAGGAAAGAGAAAGGTAGAGAATGAAGGAAGGAGGGGGAGAAAGAAGGAAAGAGAGAAGGGTAGAGAAGGAAGGAAGGAGAGAAGGAGGGGGAGAAAGAGGGAAAGAAGGAGGGAAGGAGAGAAAGAAGGAAAGAGAGAAGGGTAGAGAAGGAAGGAAGGAGAGAAGGAGGGGGGAGAAAGAGGGAAAGAAGGAGGGAAGGAGAGAAAGAAGGAAAGAGAGAAGGGTAGAGAAGGAAGGAAGGAGAGAAAGAAGGAAAGAGAGAAGGGTAGAGAAGGAAGGAAGGGGAGAAGGAGGGGGAGAAGGAGGGAAGGAGAGAAAGAAGGAAAGAGGGGTAGAGAAGGAAGTAGAGAAGGAGGGGGAGAAAGAGGGAAAGAAGGAGGGAAGGAAAGAAAGAAAGGTAGAAAAGGAAGGAGGGAAAGAAGGATGGAATGAGAGAAGGAAGGAAGGAAAGAAAGAAGGGTAGAGAAGGAGGGAAGGAGATAAAGAAGGAAAGAAAAGGGTAGAGAAGGAAGGAGAGAATGAAATAAAAAAGTGAAAGAGGGAAGAAAGGAAGGAGAGAAGGAACGAAAGAGAGAAAGAGGGAGGGATGAGGAAGGAAGGAGACAAGGAAGGATGGAACCAAAGAGCAAAGGAAGCGAGAAAAGAAACAGGTAGAGAAAAAAGAAAGAAGAAGGGAAAGAAAAAGAGGAAAGGAAGGAAAGAGGGAGGAAAGGAAGGAGAGAAAGAAAGAAGGAGAGAAAGAGGGAGGGAAGGTTGGCCACAGCAACGCGTGGCAGGGACAGCTAGTATGTATGTATGTATGTATGTATGTATGTATGTATGTATGTATTTAATTAACTTTTCCCCTGCCATGTTATTGAATGTCAGCAATGGCCTCCCCTGCTTCTTCTTTTTCCTTCCCATTTAGGCTTAAAAATAAACGTGGTTTCCTTTCCCTCCTTACAGCTTGCAGAACGTGTTCTCCAAAAAACTGCTCAGTGGAGACAAGTACCGTTTCTCGTAAGTTCCAGAAGCAGACTTCATTGTCCCTGGTTTGATGGCTTGCTTTACGGCAGTGTTTCTCAACCCTGGGGGTTTCAGAGGGGTCGCCAAAAACCATCAGAAAACTCATATTTCTATGGTCTTAGGAACCCCTTTGGCAGAGAAGGCTGAGGAATCTATCCACCTATCCTTCTCTTCGTTTCTGGTATTGGTGAACTACAACTTCCAGAAATAATAAGAATAATAATAATTCCACTTGTTTTTTGGTACTGGTTTGAGTCTTCTTTACTTTTTGTCCCTTCCTCTCCTTTGTTGTTTGTCCTGTTTTTAAACAAATATTCCAAATAAAGATTATTTCAGAATTCAAAAACAGCCCCCCCCCCCAAGACCCCATCAGTATTTAATGTTGGCCATGCACATGGACCATAACGACCATGTAGGTCGTGTGCCAAGTTTGGTGCAGATCCATTGTGGGCTGCGTTCAGAGTGCTCTGTGATTGTAGATGAACTATAAATCCCAGCAACTACAACTCCCAAATGGCAAAGTCTGTTTTCCCCAAAATTCCACCAGTGTTCACATTTGGGCATATTGAGTATTCATACCAAGTTTGGTCCAAATTTATTATTGTTTGAGTCCACAGTGGATGGAGGTGAACTACAACTCCAAAACTCACGGTCAATGCCCATCAAACTTTTCCAGTATTTTTTTTTTTGTCATGGGAGTTCTGTGTGCTGTATTTGTCCCAATTCTATCATTGGTGGGATTCAGAATGCTCTGATTGTAGGTGAACTATAAATCCCAGCAACTACAACTCCCAAATGTCAAGGTCTATTTTCCCCAAACTCCACCAGTGTTCACTTATGAGCATATTGAGTATTTGTGCCAAGTTTGGTCCAGAACCATCATTGTTTGCGTCCACAGTGCTCTCTGGATGTAGGTGAACGACAACTCCCAAACTCAAGGTCAATGCCCAACAAACCCGTCCAGTATTTTTTCTTGGTCATGGGAGTTCTGTGTGCCAAGTTTGGCCCAATTCTATCATTGGTGGGATTCAGAATGCTCTGATTGCCGGTGAACTATAAATCCCAGCAACTACAACTCCCAAATGTCAAGGTTTATTTCTCCCAAACTCCTCCAGTGTTCACTTATGGGCATATTGAGTATTTGTGCCATGTTTGGTCCTGCGCCATCATTGTTTGAGTCCACAGTGATCTCTGGATAGAGGTGAACTACAACTCCCAAACTCCACCAGTGTTCACATTTGGGCATATTGAGTATTCTGATGACATATGCAGGAGATTAAGACAGAAACGTAACGTCTTCTCCCCTCTGCTCTTACAGCGCACCAGAACTGCAGTTCTATACGAGCGCTGCCGCTGTCATCATGCTGATTCCAGCTTGGATCTTTTTCATGGTGAGAAAAGGGTCACGGGATGTTTCTGTGAAACCAAATCACTGCCTTTGACTTATGCTTAAGCTTGCAAATAATCAGAAGCATCGTTGGCAAATGCAATCGGATCTTACCAAAGTTGCAGCCAGACCTTTGCAGACTCTGAAACAGTGGTTCTCAACCTTTCTAACATCGTGACCCCTAAATTTGGTTCCTCGTGTTGTGGTGACCCCCAACCATAAAATTATTTTTGAGAGCGCGAGGCAGGCAAGGGAGGCTTTGTGCAAGGCCAGGCCTGGCTCTTGCCCTTGCTGGCTGACGAGAACACAAAGCAGGCGAGGGTGGCTTTGCGCGAGGCCAGGTGTTGGGGTTCATCCTCTGTGTGACCCTGTACCTGATTCTTTGATTGTATTTCCTGACGCCAATGTAGATGTCAATGTTGATTCTGAGGCCAATGTCGATGTTAATACTGACGATGGGTTGAATAGTGAAAATCCTACACCCTTGGAAAGTGAACGTCAAAGTTCCCATGAGAACATTCATTCCGAACCAAGCGGAGAACTTTCACTCCCTTGCGGGGAAGTTTCACTCCTTTTTCCTCCCAGCCTTAGTTCCCCAGAGAATCTGACACCTGGTCAGCCGAATGAGGGAAGGAGAGGGCAGATTCGGCAGAGCAGGGGAGAAGCACAAAGTTTACGGAGGTCAGAAAGATTGAGAGAAATGCAAACAAAAACTTCAGGCGTGTCTCGTAATAGATTTCTCTCCTTTAAGAGTGCCGGGTCTGAAGCTGCCTTCAGACCAGGCATCGTTCCAATTTCCAAGGGCATGCCTGTGGAGGCCTCCTGATTCAAGTGGCTGGGTTTCTCGTAGTTTCTCAAGTTGTTCCAAGTGCCGTTAGCTGGGAGCTAGCAGATTTCATGAATCATCAAGGGGAAATCATCGTTTGCTGTGTTTGCTGTGTTTTTTATGGACTCATTCATGTTGCTGATTTGCAAGGTTTTTATTTATTTCTGATTTTTCCTCAGCTTTGCATTCAACGTTTTTCAGTAAAAAGGATTGTATTCCTGCAGTCAAGTGTGGTGGATTGTTGTCAAGAGGGTTGTTGTCAAGAGGGTTGTTGGGAGCAAATCTGGAAAAAGAAAACCAAACTTACTAAAGCTACATCTATTATAGAAAACTGCCACAAGATGTTTTACAGATGGCACTTAACACCAGCCCTACTATCCAAAATTAATCAGAATCACAGCAACACGTGCTGGAAGTGCAAGAGGGAGACAGGGACCTATTTTCACATGTTTTGGAAATGCAAGAGAATTCAACAATTCTGGTTGTCGGTCCATAAACATGTACTAAAAATAACCAAAACAAAATGGGAAATAAAGCCTGAATGCTACCTCCTTAATATGTCGGTCCCTGTTCCACGGGGAAATGAGGAAAAAATCTTCTTCTACTTCGCATCTTCGGCAAGGATGCTTATAGCCCAAAAGTGGAAAACACAAGAGACCCCCTCGTTGGAGGAATGGAAAAAAAAGGTGATTGAGTTTATAGATTTGGACAGACTATCGACCCTAATGGAGAACCAGAACAAGGAAAGACAGACCAACTGGAGCCACTGTAAAGAATATCTAAAGAACATTTAGGAATAAGAGAACAATAACAATAGTTGCCAGTAGGCCTGTGCGGTTTCGTTCGTTAATTCGTTAATTCGTTATTAATTCGTTATTTTTGGCATTTCCGAAGCGATATCAAAACACATTTCCAAACCCGGAAGGGTTTTAAAATATCGAACCAGCAACCCCCATAGATTTAACGAGCTTCCGCTCGTTTCGTTAATGGGGTGGAGGCTGCTGGAGTGCTGGTGCCTGGGAGCCAATCCGGCGCTCCCAAGCAGTGCACCATGGGTCCGTGGCTGTCTCTTTTTGATTGGCCGGCGAGCCCTTTCAAAGCGGCTCCGCGCGGCCCGTAGCTTGCTGCAGAGGCGACGGCGAGGGAGTTTGCATTGGGTTGGCTTGGCAATGGCTGCCTGCTAGCAACGAACTGGGATTGGATTCATTCCTTGCTGCTGTGAGTGCTGCTTGCTTCATTTGCTGTCTCTTGCCTGTGTTTGGTCCACATTTGGGCCATTTTTTGGTTAATTTTCCATTTTAAAATATTTTAATATTATTTTTTAATATTATTTTTAAAAAATATTCTAAAAAAGAAAAGACTCTTCTGTTGGTGTTTGCTCTCATTTGCTGTCTCTTGCCTGTGTTTGGTCCACATTTGGGCCATTTTTTGGTTAATTTTCCATTTTAAAAATATTTTTTAATATTATTTTTAATATTATTTTTAATATTATTTTTAATATTATTTTTATATTATTTTTAATATTATTTTTTAATATTATTCTTAAAAAATATTCTAAAAAAGAAAAGACTCTTCTGTTGGTGTGTGCTCTCATTTGCTGTCTCCTGCCTGTGTTTGGTCCACATTTGGGCCATTTTTTGGTTAATTTTCCATTTTAAAATATTTTTTAATATTATTTTAATATTATTTTTAATATTATTTTAATATTATTCTTAAAAAATATTCTAAAAAAGAAAAGACTCTTCTGTTGGTGTGTGCTCTCATTTGCTGTATCCTGCCTGTGTTTGGTCATTTTTTGGGCCATTTTTTGGTTAATTTCATTTTAAAATATTTTTAATATTATTTTAATATTATTTTAATATTATTTTAATATTATTTCTTAAAAAATATTCTAAAAAAGAAAAGACTCTTCTGTTGGTGTGTGCTCTCATTTGCTGTATCCTGCCTGTGTTTGGTCCACATTTGGGCCATTTTTGGTTAATTTTCCATTTTAAAATATTTTTAATATTATTTTAATATTATTTTTAATATTATTTTAATATTATTCTTAAAAATATTCTAAAAAAGAAAAGACTCTTCTGTTGGTGTGTACTCTCATTTGCTGTATCCTGCCTGTGTTTGGTCCACATTTGGGCCATTTTTTGGTTAATTTTCCATTTTAAAATATTTTTAATATTATTTTAATATTATTTTTTAATATTATTTTAATATTATTTTAAAAAATATTCTAAAAAAGAAAAGACTCTTCTGTTGGTGTGTGCTCTCATTTGCTGTATCCTGCCTGTGTTTGGTCCACATTTGGGCCATTTTTTGGTTAATTTTCCATTTTAAAATATTTTTTAATAGTATTTTAATATTATTTTTTAATATTATTTTAATATTATTCTTAAAAAATATTCTAAAAAAGAAAAGACTCTTCTGTTGGTGTGTGCTCTCATTTGCTGTCTCTGCCTGTGTTTGGTCCACATTTGGGCCATTTTTTGGTTAATTTTCCATTTTAAAATATTTTTTAATATTATTTTAATATTATTCTTAAGAAATACAAAAAATATTCTAAAAATTCGTTAATATTTACAAAATTTCTTAAATACCAAAACTTTTTTGGGGGAAAGTTTTGTAATTATTTTAAATATCGAAACAAAAAAACACCCCAATTACAAATCGATTTTAGAAACAAATTTTTTCTTGATCAAACAGGCCTAGTTGCCAGTTAAACAAACAATAGAAAATAAGGAATCAAAATTAATAAATGTACCTAATAATACTCATCCATCTGTGGACCATACGGAAGTGTCAAGTTTCTCTCCCCCACACTCTCCCCCACACCTTTGCCCCACATCCCCCCCTCTACACCCCCCTCATGTTCTACCCTTCCAAAATCCCCAGTAATCCCTAATAACCCAATGTCCTATTTTTCCAAACTTTCCTATCTAAGTATTGTTCCCCTTCTTTCGATGTTTCAACTAAGAAAACTCAATAAAGATTATTGAAACCGAAGAGGGTTGTTGTCGCAACACCAGGCCTCACGCAAAGGAGCCCTCGCCTGGCTCTCGCCATTGCCGGCCGGCGAGAGCGCGAGGCAGGCAAGGGTGGCTTTGCGCGAGGCCTGTCCTTGTGCAAAGCCTTGAGGGATGGGGACCAAAGCCTTGGGGGGCGGGGCCAAAGGAGGTGTCCTCACGACCCCTCCGAAAGGGCCAAACGACCCCCTTGGGGGCCGCGACCCCCAGGTTGAGAACCGCTGCTCTGAAAGATCCCAAGGTGAGATCAGGACCATCGGCACCTGGATTTATATTTCTGTTTGTTTCTTTATGTCTCAGGATGTGCCAGTGATTGGGAAGAGCGGGAGGAGCTTCCAGTACAACCAGGACATTGTTGTGCTGCTCCTCATCGACGGCGTGCTTTTCCATCTGCAAAGCGTCACGGCCTACGCCTTGATGGGCAAGATTTCTCCCGTGACGTTCAGGTAAAAAACGCCATTCGGTTCTGGGAGGAAAATGAGGTCCGTTTCCGTATTTTTCTGCCGTTTTATCCCAAATTTAGTCTGTTGAAGATGAGGAATGGGGGGCACACCAAGGTGAGCAAGATCTCTCTTTGGAATATGACAAATTCCAGCTGTCTCCCACTCAAAAGCGCCAAACCAGAACAGGCACAAGGTATACGAATCTGAGCACACTGGGATCGAAACTTAATCGAAGCTCGTAAACGATTCATCATCCTTTATTTTAATTGTAAACTGATAATGCAGGCTATCTGACCAACATAAACTTAGTATTTCAGAGCTCGGGGGCCATCCAGTCCAACCCCCTTCTGCCATGTAGGAAGAGCACAATCAAAGCACCCCTAGCAGATGGCCACCCAGCCTTTGTAGTAATAATACGGTAAAGGTTAAGGTTTCCCCTTGACCTGAAGTCTAGTTGTGTCCAACTCTGGGGCTTGGTGCTCATCTCCATTTCTAAGCCGAAGAGCCGGCGTTGTCCACAGACACCTCCAAGGTCATGTGGCCACTGGCATGACTGACCCTAACCCTTACCTTCCCACCGGAGTGGTCCCTGTTGATCTATTTCCATTTGCAAACGAATACCTTGGATTAATGTTTCCTGGTTTTCTGGATTATATTAGAGAAGTGTGGATTTTGTTTTCATGGACTTTGCAGAACTTTACCCAGGACTATTTTGTCCCTGCTTGTATCCTTACCTAATTGGATTTACCTATTTCTTTAAAGTGCTTTTTTACTTTGCTGCTTTTTAATTATTTCCAATAAAAGGATTGTGTTCCTATTCAACGTGTGGTGTTTAAAGTCAGAGGGCTTTTCCTGTCCTGGAGTGCAACACTCTCACACAGAGGTTCACCTCACTATTTTGTTCCTGCTTATCTTCTTACGTAATTGGATTTACCTATTTTTTTTACTTTGCTGCTTTTTAATTATCTGCAATAAAAGGATTGTTTTCCTATTCAACGTGTGGTGTTTAAAATCAGAGGGCTTTTCCTGTCCTAAAGTGCAACACTCTCACACAGACGTTCACACTCCTCACTATTTTGTTCCTGCTTATCTTCTTACCTAATTGGATTCACCTATTTCTTTAAAGTGCTTTTCCTGCCCAATACTCTCACACAGAGGTTTATCTCACACTACTCACTAATTTGTTCCTGCTTATCTTCTTACCTAATTGGATTTACCTATTTCTTTAAAGTGCGTTTTACTTTTGCTGCTTTTTAATTATCTCCAATAAAAGGATTGTTTTCCTATTCAACATGTGGTGTTTAAAGTCAGAGGGCTTTTCCTGTCCTGGAGTGCAACACTCTCACACAGAGGTTCACACTCCTCACTATTTTGTTCCTGCTTATCTTCTTACCTAATTGAATTTACCTATTTCTTTAATGTGCTTTTTACTTTGCTGCTTTTTAATTATTTCCAGGGTCATTATTCCAGGCGGGGTCTGACCAAAGCAGAAGGGAGTGGGACCATGCCTTCCCCCATTCACTGACGCCATTTTCTCTTCCCTTCCTTAGCGTCGCCAGCACCGTCAAGCACGCTCTGTCCATCTGGCTCAGCATCATTGTGTTTGGCAACAAAATCACCAGCCTCTCGGCCATCGGAACGGTGCTAGTGACAGTGGGGGTCCTGCTCTATAACAAAGCCAAGCAGCACCAGCAGGCCACCATCCAGAGCTTAGCGGCCGCCTCCTCCCCACTCTCCCCGCAGATGGCCAGCAAAGACACGGAGCCGCTCATTCCAACAGATTTAAAGCCGTTCAAATGAGTCGGCCCTTGGAGGATTTTTCGCCGTGAATGTTTTGTTTTCCGGAAGTGCTTCCTCTGGGAACTAGGAGAGCCAGGACCCCAACGCACGGCAGGCTTTGCCATCCAGCAAAGAGCACTTTTGACAAATGTTGATGGTGCTCGCCTCCACGGGGCCCAGAAACCGTAGCAAGAGGATCACTGTCCGACCAGCAAAAGGGAAGCGTAACCACTAGTGTGTCCCATTTGCTGCAAGACTCAGACAAATCGCCTCTAGGCATGGATACCACTGCCTTTCCCTATACCGAGCCCTTCTCGAAGAGTTGCAATCCTGTGCACCGACCACTTGAAATGGTAAACGCAATACAATGCAATATGCTTCTGATCTGAATCGCGCAACGGGTTCTTAGGACAGGATTGGGATTTTGCAAAATGATATTTTGCAAAAGGAATAGCGGCCGTTTTGCGATTGCAGTTTCCTGCAAGGAAGCAATAAACGAGGCTTTGGAAGTGTATGAAGCCCGTTCCCAGAAGAGTCCCTCTTTCAGACGTTTCAGTATGGCAGCCCTCTGTCCTCTTCTCTCTTACACCTGATCGTACGAGGGTTGAATGAAAAGTAATGCCTCCACCTTTGTTACTTGGGTTTGGATGAAAATATTTTAATAAATCAAATGCAGAAATAATTGTCGAAGGCTTTCATGGCTGGAATTGTTGTAGGTTTCTTCAGGCTATGTGGCCATGTTATAGAGGCACTCTCTCCTGACGTTTCGCCTGCATCTATGGCAAGCATCCTCAGAGGTAGTGAGGTCTGTTGGAAGCAGAAAAAATGCATTTATATATCTGTGGAATGACCAGAGTGAGACAAAGGAGTTTTTTCTGTTGGGGCTAGGTGTGAATGTTTCAGCTGATCACCTTGATCACCTTGAAATCCACAAGCATGTGGACAATTTCAACAGAAAGGGAGAAACCATGAAAATGAACAAAATCTACCAGTATTAAAAAACTCAAAAATTACAACAGCAAAACAACAGAGGGGAAACAAACAGGCACATAAAATCACTCTCAGCAAAAGATTCCCCCCAGGTACTTCCAAGCCATTGAACGCTAATCAAGGTGATCAGCTGAAAAACCTACAACAACCCAGTGGAGGCATTCCTTTTCACTTTAACCTCACAGCCGTTCAATGCTAAGGCTTCCCGCCAAAATGGAACTGTAGAGGAGAGTCTACGGAACAAGCCAGTACCTGCTGCATACCAGTACGGCCATCTGTTGAGGAGTTACCAAGGTGGAGGCATTACTTTTCACTTTAACAACACAGCCATTCAATGGTAAGGCTTCCTGCCACAATGGAACTGTAGAGGAGAGTCTACTGAACAAGCCAGTACCAGCTGCTTACCAGTACTTCCACCTGTTGAGGAGTTACGAAGGTGGAGGCATTACTTTTCATTCAACCCTCGTACTAATGGGCCATCTAATGCAGGCAAGGGAAAACAAGCTTACCCTTACGGCCCCAAAAGAAGAACTCGTCAGCATCACCAACATAAATTTGGTGCAAAATATTTGACCCGAATTGGCTGAAGTACGTCATCCAGCTTTGTTTTGAAGCCGTCCAGAGGGACTTGCGCTTCTAGGTGGATACTGGGTCCTCGAGGCACTATGTCTTTCCTATTCATGTCTTCTTGCTGCAAGTATCGCTATCCACAGCTGTTGCAGGCAACTACATAACCCACTCGCCATCCATTCCAGCAGGATTAAGTTGTAAACAGAACAGGGATTTGGGTCTTCCCTGCCAAAGACCGTTTTGTTTTGTCCTGTGCGTTTAGTTCCTCGAAAGTCGAGCTCCGAGAACTTGTTCCGTAGCTAAATAGAGAGAGCTAGTTGCTGCTCGTTCCTTCCTCCAACTAGTATTTGGCCCTATTGGCAAACCACTTTCTCTGGAAACCACCCCAGAGAGCTACCAGAAGGTTGGGTTGCTGTGAGTTTTCCGGGCTGTATGGCCATGTTCCAGAAGCACCTTCCACAGATATATAAATTCAACTTGTTTAGTTTCCAACCTCACAACCTCTGAAGATGCCTGCCATAGATGTGGGCAAAACTTCAGGAGAGAATGCTTCTAGAACATGGCCATGCAGCCCGGAAAACTCTCAACCCAATGATTCTGGCTGTGAAAGCCTTCGACAATATGCCAGAAGGTTGTGTGCTATCCACTTACTCCCGACCCCGTTTCTGCCTTTTGGTGGATTTGGTGCCCCGAAAGGCAGGTAGTTGTTAACTTTGTTGTTGTTGTTGTTGTTGTTTTTCTACAAAAGCAAAGTTGAGATTTTTTTTCCGGTCTACCACAATAATAAAATTGGGCTACTTCCAGATGTAGTTGTGGCAATCTGAACTTTGGATTGATGTGAGTTTTCTGGGCTGTATGGCTGTGCTCCAGAAGCATTCTCTCCTGATGTTTCACCCACATCTATGGCAGGCATCTGCAGAGGTGGCAAAGTCTGTTGGAAACTAAGCAAGAGAGGCTTATATATCTGTGGAAGGTCCAGGGTGGGAGAAAGAACTCTTGTCTGTTGCAATGTTGTCATTCACCACCTTGATTATTTATTTATTTATTTATTTACAGCTTTTCTCTTCCGCCCTTCTGCTCACCCCGCAGGGGACTCAGGGCAGATTACAGTGTACACATATATGGCTAACATTCAATGCCAATTTTTGACATACAAATATATACAGACATACACAGAGGCTATTTAATTTTTTCTGGCCGTGTGACACTGATGAAGCACTTCCGCATTCCCCGCATGCTTCCCCGCTGGAACGCTTTGCAGGAGTCTTCTTTATGGTCTCATAAATCAGTTAATTTAGCCTCCCCACACTTTAAGGTGGTACCTAATTTTCCTACTTGACAGATGCAACTGTCTTTCGGGTTGCAAAGGTCGACAACAGGCTACACACAATTGGTTGGAAACCCACTCCAACCTGGGCTGGCTTCGAACTCATGACCTTTTGGTCAGAGTGATCTTAATGCAGCTGACACTCAGCCAGCTGCGCCACAATCCCGGTTAACATTGCAAAGCCTTGCAGCTTCAAACCCTGGCTGATTCCTGCCTTGGGGAATCCTTTGTTGGGAGGTGTTACCTGGCCCTTATTCTTTCATGTCTGGAATTCCCTTGTTTTCTGTCCTGAGTTGCCCTCTGAAAACAGCCTTTAGACAATGTTGAAAGTAAAAGGAAAATGCTTTACTTCAGCAAACACAAAGGATAAGCAAA